GTAACCTCCAAAGATGTTCTAGGGAGGAAATGCTGTTTGTACCTGATAAGCTGAGGCAGGACAGGGTATGTGTTATCTCTCCAGGGCTCTTTTTGGTCTCAGTGAGCATGGTGCCCAGAGAGGCATCTGTTTCTGTGGCCTAAGGGGATGAAAACAGGAGAGAAAGAAAGAACATGTTGGCTGTTGGGAAAGGAGATGCCATCCTGTCATTTTGCTTAGGGCATCTGGTTAAGGTAGTTGAGTTTGGCTGCTAGCAGGGATACAATGCCTCCTTGGATCAACTGGAGCAGCTCACAGTCCTTAGGAAAGCTAACAAAATGTCATGACCAGAAGCCCTCATTGTCTCTTCAGGCACTACATTTGTCTGGAAAAAGCGCCCTAAAATGACAATGATGGCTCACTCACCACATCCTTCAACATGTCTGGGATGGCTCCGTTTTCTTCCACGTCTTCAGGAAGCTCAATTGCGTATCCTTTACGAACTAACTCTAGCCCAATATCAAGTTTCTGAGAAGAAAAATGAAGAGGGAATGATGTTCTCTCTGTAAGGGTGGGCAAATCTGAGGAAACAAGGCAGACGAGCTAGGATTGACACTTCAAAAACATTCCTTCGGGCCGGGCACGGTGGCTCACGCCTGTAATCCTAGCACTCCGGGAGGCCAAGGTGGGCAGATCATTTGCGCTCAGGAGTTCGAGACCAGCCTGAGCAAGAGCGAGACCTAGTCTCTACTAAAAATAGAAAGAAATTAGCTGGACAACTAAAAATATATAGAAAAAAGTAGTCGGGCATGGTGGTGTGCATGCCTGTAGTCCCAGCTACCGGGAAGGCTGAGGCAGGAGGATCGCTTGAGCCCAGGGGTTTGAGGTTGCTATAAGCTAGGCTGACACCACGGCACTCTAGCCTGGGCAACAGAGTGAGACTCTGTCTCAGAAAAAAAAAGAAAAAGAAAAACAAAACACACGAAAAAACCACATTCCTTCAGTGGGATGGTGAGCAGGATCTTACAAAGTTGGAGTAGTATCAGATAAGGGTTTCTGGGAAGTAAAGGTGGCTATAAATATAATGAAGATATAGTCAGCAAGGAGTGACTCCAATCTTACCTTCCCATTGCTAGTATCATATAAGTAGATCTTTGGCCAAGTTGAGATCCCAGTCTGGACATAGCTAGAGATCTTGGCCACAAGGGGCTTCCAGTCAGCACAGTGAGTGAGTCTTTCAAATTCATCCAAAGCTTCCTCTTCCCACTGTTCACCTGGCAAAAGATTGTGTGAGGGTAACTCAAAAGGGGTCAGTGCTGACAGGGGTGGGGATTATACCATGGAGGGAAGTAGGAACTATCCCTCTTTATTCAGGAAGGCACCTATGTGTTCTCTGGTGGGGCTGGGTCCAACAGGCAAGTTTCTGGCTGCTGCTCTCTAGTGATGGTGAGGAAAAGTCCCCAGAATTCAAAAAGTCTGGGAATGTGAGAATTCCTCCCACGTGTGGTGTGAAAGTTATTCTATTCAGAGGCAAAGTCAATAGGTGGTGTGGCCAATTTACCTGAGGGGGCGATCCGGGCCAGACTGCACTCTATTGCTTGAAATGGAAGGCTTAGGAAGTCACTCCTAAAGTGAAAGAAACTGAAATTAGAATCCTAGGGCCAGGAGGTGCCTTCTTATGCTGCTTACTTTTAGGCAGAACCAACTAACCCAGCTCTCTGTAAAGAGGTTCTCTTCCAAATCCCCTGGTGATGAATGCCAACAGCTCACCACTCTATGGCCAGGACTGAGTGAGTAGTTGGGATTCCAGCTGACTCCACCCTGGCCTCGGCACTGACCTGAGAGCCCTGAGGTCCTTCAGTGGGCAATCTCCGTTATCTCCAAAGTCAACAAAATAGAGGTCAAAGTTCCCATTTTCCAAGGTGCCAAGGACCTGGGCTCGATACCAGGAACCATTTGTAAGTAAAGGTGCTGCTACGATGTCTCCTATATGCACAGTCAATTCTTCAGGCTGTAGGTGGGGATGTCAGGAGAGGACAGAGTCACAAAGTGGTAGGCCAGTAAACAGGGAATAGCAGGAGGAAGAAAGAATAGTTGCCCCAAGGAAAAGACTATATTACAATGAAAAAGATATGTCCCTTTTTCATCAAACCCCAGCCCTGTCCATATGGCAACTCACCAGACTATTTTCATAGTGCTGGGTCATTTCATTGACAAGCTTATTCAGTTGCAGGCTGCGGGAAGCAATGATCTGGATCCAGAAGTGGTTAGGGTGTTCAGAAGCAGAGACATAGACGTCTGGGTACTCCTCAGCATGGAAACTAAAGTCAGGACTAGGGACTGAACACAGGGATAAGGATGGTGGCTATATCAGAACCATCTCTGGACTGGGGAAACTGCATCAGGGGAGCGAGAGGTACAAATATCAAATGGCTGTTACCATTTTAAAAATGGCTGAAGGCACGACTGGATGAATCATACCAGAACATCCTAAAGAAAAATACCAAACTATCTTCTGTACCTTTCCATGTAACTGAGTAGTAACAGTTTACATTCTTAGTCATGTGTCATGTATTCAAATCAGTCACCAATTACAATGAAGGTAAACCCACCATATATGCTAGCTGCAGCATGGATTAGTAAAAAGAAACCTTCACATGGACAGCAGCAGATATGGGGCTATTCCAGATCCCATTCTACCACTGACTCATCATGTGACCCTGGACAAGTCCGTGAGCCTCTTGGGGCCCTGGTCCTCTGCCTGTGCCAGTACCTATGTATAGGAGAGAAAGCTTGAATAGTGATGATTTTCAAAAACAGTAATGAGACAGGTAAAAAAAAAAAAAATTCTGAGAATTTTACTTGTTTATAAAGTAGGTCTGGAGAAAGAATATCACGTAAATTCCATTATTTGATGGAATTTACTACTCACACACTAGTTCCTGTGTCTGCGTTATTTCTCTCATTTTCCTTTATCATCGGCTGGTTTATATTCAGGAAAATATTATTTTAGCATTAATCCAAGTAACATATTACCAGATAGACTTATAGATGTAGTTATGAAAACAAATGATTTTTTTATTGCTTCTTATTTTGGGTTATCTAAACCAGTATTTCTATATTCCATATTGTTAACAGCTTCCCTCTTTGTTACATACTTTCAAACATGGACATCTCTGGAATGGCCTGGGCTCCAGACTTTTCAATGCTGTCATCATTAGGTTTCTCCCAGGAACCTTCTTTTGGCCCTACAACAGCCATGTCACCACCTCCTTTGTGGGGAGTAACCGCCAGGGGCATGGCCTGCTCCACACTAGAACTGGTGTTTTTCGATAGAGCTGTCTCTCCAGCTCCATCTGGCTCTGTCACTTCCTCTCTTCTCACACTGATTGGCTGCTTGCGTGGGACCCTAGTTTCTGCAGAATGTGCGATTCTCTTCCGAAGTTCTTCATCTTCTGAAACTTTTTCCAGTATCAAATGCTGTGGAAAATAAGAAAGGATGATATTCCGACCCTGGATGGAGTAAAGAGCTCTTCTCATTCTTAGGTACGATTCAAGTCTATCAGGTACTTGCCTTGGCCGCTGCCACTTCCTTCTGTGTTCCTGAGATTTTTATAAGTCTTGATAGTAGTAATGTCCCCTCTGATTCTTTGTCACAGGTAATCTTGGCTCCAGAGGCCTCACGGGTAGAACGAATCGTCTCACCGCCTCTCCCTACAGTGAACAACACATAAAAACCTGTCCTTTCCTCTTGGTCAACCTTAACTACTAGAGCAATCACTATTTTGTGTATATTAGGAGAAGGGAGTCAGTTCTCATTTCCAAACTGAACAAAATGTAAGATGCTGAACAGAAAGCAGGAAGCTACTGAAATCATCACTGTAGGAAGAATATTGGATTCTTTATGTTATCCACTTTAAACTCTACACTTAGGCTAGGTTACCTTCATGTCATTTTCATGTTTTTGATCACTCAGCAAGGCCATACTTTACATTCCCAGCTTATAAGAAGGTATGCTACAGGGTGTCTCAGAACACTGGACCAAGGACAGGACATTTCTCTGCCTCTAACAGCAGCACTAAGGAATGATCTAGGGGAATGCATACTAGGTACTCTCTTGAGCACTATGTTGAAAGATTTTGGATAACACGAGCATTTCTAGCTTCCCTTTAAAAATCTATTATAAGGTAAATACATTAAACAGAACTCAAAACCCTTCTGGAACCTATTTGTAAGGTTCAGATCACATGACTTCTTGAGGTAATGGGTTTTGTTTTACCACCAATTCTGTAAAAAAATAAAATAAATAAAAAAGTAAAGCTCTTGTCTCAATGTCCCTGTCTTTTTTTTTTTTCCTCAGCAAGGTGAAAGGGGAATAGGCCAGGAAAAAACGCTTGGGAAGTTGTGAAAGAAAGGCAAAGGTAAAGAATACAGGAAACAGCAGACGAAGCCATCCAGTGGTACCTATGATTCTGCCCACAGATCTCTGGGGAACTGAGAGCTGCTCAGACACTGGGGTGTTCTCTGTCAGGATCTGATGAATTGCTGCTTTGGCCTTGCACACCTGAACAGGAAAACCACTGATAAGCAGTACTCGCTCATCGCCTACATCCTCTGTGTCCACATCGATCCGAGCACCTGTCTGTTTCCGCAGCTGCAGAGAAAAGGACATGTGGCAGTACATTCTGGAAGACCTCCTATTTGGGCCCAGCTAAGGACACTCTGAAGCAAACCCTGGAGGTAGAAAGATTCAGCCAAAGACATTAGCTAAATTGGGTTGCTATAATCAGTCCTCAATTACTTGTATTTAGGGAAGGAGATTAATAACAAAGGTAACCCCAAATAGCAGCTAATTCAAAACCATTTCCTTGTGTTTAGAATGCTTTTCTCCTCTAATTTTATTTAGACTGGAGAATCAAATATTTTGTTTTCTTGACATTTCAACAATGGAAGATGGTAAGAACAGGCAGCGATATTTACTGTCAATTAGTGAGTTCATCAATTCCATAGTAGAAAAGAATAGTTCAAGCTATTCCATACTGACAATCATCCAATCAAAAACCCCTATTTCAAGCTAAGTCATCCATTCTCTAGGGAACACTCCTCTGTATAAAGGAAATAGCATAGTTACCTCAAAAAGTTCCTGTACTTGTTCTTTTTAAAATATACAAAGCATGGGTGTGTTTTGTGATATGGGGTCAGAGGAAGGAAACAGAAGATCAATAAATAGACTCAATTCCTGGGAAAGCTGATTGCCTGCTCACACACTCACCTGTTTTATATTGGCTCCTTGCCGGCCAATGATGAGCTTCACAGCCTCCTGCGGAACTTGCATCTCTATCTCGATGTCATCCTCCCCAACAAACGTCAGCCGCTCTTCTGCACAGATCATGGCTCATCAAATCAGACTCAGGTAACACCAAACCACCTACTACCAGCCCTCCCCCAGATCTGGCTGTCAAAGAGACACTGATCCAAAATATAAACTGAGGATCTCAACCAGGATAACAAGGAGAAACAACATGTGGGTATGAATTAGAAGGTTCCCAAAAAACTAGAGATGGGAATTTTCTCTAGGATACTGTTTCAGATGCTAAAAGGGGAAAAGTAGACTCTGCATAGAGGAGGTGCTGGGTTTTGGGCCAACTACTTCTCCCAAGACATGACAATTGGAGAAGAACAAAAACCAAAAGTTGCCCAAGGCATTCATTGGGCTCAGAACCTCTCCTGACTGATGTGTACACACGTCATCTCTCTAGGTCCTATTCCGTAGGTACAGCCTTTGAGGAAACTGACTTCTCCTAACAATTAATTAGAAGGAACATATACATCAGAGTATAGAAATAAAAAAACCACCCATTGCTGCATTCATGTTGCTGAAGGAACAGATAAATGGAATTATAAAATGAGTTCATTTCACAGACTAGCTTCATAGTAAGAACATGGGAAAGAAGAAACCAAATAGTTTCAGTTAAAGATTCCTCACAGAAAGCCAACTGCACCCCAATAATACCTGGTCTGGCAAGGAAAGAGTTATCGTCTCAATTTAACAAGGCAGGAACATAGTCTGAACATTTTCACACGCACAGCCATACCTCTGCTTTCCCTATACCTTCGGTACAGGATGTAGGCAACTGTTGCGCTGGCTGGGATCCCGAGGCCCAGGGCTATTTTCTGAATAGTGGACAGGCTTGTCCAAGAAGTCCGTTCAGTGGACATTTTCTGCTATATGCTGATTTACATTCTGAAACAAGCAAACCAGGGAAAAGAAAGCTTTCATCCAACACTTGTATGACTAGCAGAGAAGCGTGGGAACACATTATTATATTATTGAAAAGAATATCATTGTCTACCTCACCATTTCAAGAGCTTCGGCAATTCCAAAATCTATTTCATGTAAAAGGCCTCAGAGTATTTTTTAAAAGTTAGCTAAGGTACACATACACATACAACTAAATAGAAGCATACTTCATTTTTACCCCCCAAGGAGAACTATATATTTATCAGTTTTAAATGACAAAAGAACAAAAATATTAAACAAGTCAAATGCTTAGAATGTATATACTTAGTTTCATATCAAACAATTTAAAATTCCTTATCTTAATCCTTCTATGCCTTCATGCCTTTCCATAAGCTGTTGTCTGCAAGGAATGCCAAGGCCTAGAAAAGGCCTTGCTACTTATCTTTCTTGGAAGTACAATCTTCATTTACTGTTTCTACTTTCAGTTTCTGTTTACTCCTCAACCAACAGTGACATGAGGTTCTGCCCTGCTCCTTCACCAAAACAATAACTTCCAAGATAATCAACCTAGAGGGCACGCATGAAACCTCATCCCATCTTACCTCTCTGCAGCAACAGGAAGGCAACCACTCCCTCCATAAAACTTCCCTTGGTTTCTGTGCCCTCTTTCTCTTGGTTTCTCCCATTTCCCCTGAGGGTGCTTCTGAATTTTGGGCTTGTCTTCCTGTGCCCTCTATCCATTGTTAATGCCACTCTGCTCTCTTTGGGCAATTTTGTCCCCACCTGCAGCTTCAGTTACTACCTGTGTCAATGACTCCAACACCATAGCACCTGGCCTGATTCAAAAGCTCAAGTTTCATTTAGACCACTGCAATGGCCTTACAGGCTTTCTTGCTATTAGTCTCTCCTTGACGCTCTATCTTCATTTTGCTGCCCAGCAAATCTTAACATGTTCCTCACTATATTTCCTTATTCCACAGTTTCTCACTCTCCCAATTATTTCTGACCTCCCCTCCTCACACCTCTAGTGCCTCCTCCAACCCCTCTCCACTGATGTCCTTGCATCCTATTTCACTGAGAAAATAGAGCATTAACAGAAAATTTCACTTAGATTCCACACATTTACCCACCCACCTCCACCTGTGCCTAGATACTTGCTCCTCTCTCCTGTAACCATGGATGAATTGCCTCTGCTCCTAGCACTGAAGTCTTTCATAAAAGTGTTGTTCCACCACTTCTCTTTCCTTTCCCTGTGTTGTTAATGTTTTCCTCTCTACTGGATCTTTCCATCAGCAGACAAACATCCTCCTCCCTTCTTAAAGAAAAACCCTTCTCTATTCGACTTACTCCTTCAGCGATTTCCCATTTCTTTCTTTCCTTTTACAGGAAAACTCAAGAGAGTCTCAGTATCTCTGTCCTGAATTTATTTTCTTGAATCCAGTCTGTCTGCTTTCCTCAGCGTCACCAATGACATCACACTGCTAAACCTGAAGATTCTCAGTTCTCATCTTGCCAGACCTCGCCACAGTATGTGGCACAGCTGGTGATTCCCTTTTCTCTGAAACACTTTCTTCCCTTGGCTTCCCCTACAGCACACCCTCCTGGTTTTCCTCCTCCCTCTTTGGCTGTGCCATCAGTCTTAGTTACAGGTTCTTTTCATTTTTCTAACCTCTTAAACACCGTAGTACCCCAGGGATCTGTCCTTTGCCCTCTTTTCTGTTCCATTTTGCTTCCTTGGTGACTTCATCAAGTCTCGTTCACAGCCTGGCTTATTATTTATTTATTTTTTTTAGACAGAGTCTTGCTGTGTTGCCTGGGCTACAGTGCCATGGTGTCACCCTAGCTCACAGCAACCTCAAACTCCTGGGCTCGAGCAATCCTCCTGTCTCAGCTTCTCGAGTAGCTGGGACTACAGGCATGCACCACCATGCCCGGCTAATTTTTCTATTTTTCGTAGAGACCAGTATCTTACTCTTGCTCAGGCTGGTCTCAAACTCCTGACCTCAAGTGATCCTCCCGCCTCGGCCTCCCAGAGTGCTAGGATTACAGGCGTGAGCACCACCTCGTCTGGCTCCACAGCCTAGCTTTAAATCCCACCTATATGCTGATAACTTCCAAATTAATAGATCCACTTAGGACCTTTGTACTGAATTCCAGGTTTGTATATCCAACTGCTTACATGGCATCTCCATTTGATGTCTAACAGACATCTCGAACAGGTACAACACTGAGCTCCTGCAACCACCCGCTTCCTGTCATCTTTGCCCTCTCAGTAAATGGCAACTCCATTCTTCTATACAGTTTCTTAGTCATCCTCTTTCTCAAACTGCACATCCAGCCTATCAGCAAATATTTACTCTACCTTTAAATTATCCAGAACCTGACCACTTTTTACCTCTGCATTGCTATGACCCTGCTCTAAAACACCATTTTCTTTTGCCTAGATTGTTGCAATTGCTTAATTATGTCTCTGCATTTGCCATTGTCCATTTAGTTTATTCTCAACACAATAGCTGAAGTCAAATGACATTACTTACCTGCTCAAAACCTTCCAGTAGCTTTCCATATCACTATGATTAAAAATCAAAATTATAATAATCTACAAGTTCTTCATCCTGTCTCCCCATTAGATTATAAACTCCACAAGGGCAGAAATTTAGTTTCCTTCCCCAGTGCTTAGCATACAGTAGCCACTTGTGACTACTAGTAAAAGGGTATATGATATTCTTCTGAGTTTGCCAGCGAGAAAAAATAGATATTTTTTCAATAATAATTTGTTGAAAGAATGCCGTACTTCTTCAGTGGCTCTCTGTTGCCTAAATGAGAACTCCTTAATGGCATGAAAGGTTCTTTATAATCTGATCTCTGCCTATCATCTTCATAGCCTCATGTTCTTACCCCACCTCTACTCAGGGAATAGGATATGTGCTTTCTTATGTATCCTTGCGCTGACACATTTCACTTCTGTCTTCCTACTTAGTCCATCTCATATATCTGGCAAAATTCTGTTTCTTCAAGTCTCAGCTTTAATACCACCTCCTCTTCTGAGGCCTCTGAGAGTTCCCCTAGCTCATTTAGAGTGAGCTTCTCCTTAGATCACATTGCTCTGTGAATGATACCTCCGTGACCACACTTGTTCACACTATATGCAATTGTTGATCCTGTTAATTGTTATGCCTGTGTCCTTTAGACTGCTGGGATTGAGTTTAACATAGGCTGTTTGTTTTCATTTATGAGGTTTATTCCCCCAAGTCACTAGATAAGTTTTTTTTTTTTTTTTTTTTGAGACAGGGTCTTGCTCTGTTGCCCAGCCTGGCATGCAGTGGCCTCAACACAGCTCACTGCAACCTCAATTCCTGGGCTCAAGTGATCCTCCCACTTCAGCCTCCTGAGTAGCTGGGACTATAGGGACAAGCCACCACACCTGGTTAATTTTCCATTTTTTTTGTAGAGACTGGGTCTCACTCTTGCTCAGGCTGGTCTCGAACTTCTGGCCTCAAGCAATCTTCCCACCTAGGCTTCCCAAAGTGCTAGGATTACAGGCCTGAGCCACCCCTCCTGGCCAGCTTCTCTTTTTAGACAGGCTACAAATAAAACCTTTCACGACTCTAAATGTTTGGGTGGTATCATGTAAACACCTTTGTATATACCAAAGGAAAGGAAACAAGTTTGGTTTCATAAAGATTTTTTGCTTAAATAATTCTTGAATATGTAACCCCAAATTGCTACTTTCCTACATTAATAGATGATTTATTCCGGGTGTCTAGATTCTTTTATCTTTTGGTTATTTCATATATTTTCTCATATGGTCTCTAAAGCACAAAGCTCATCTTCATTATTAATGTCCCTCATTTAAATAGTGCTAGTTGTTATGTGCTGAGCATGCTGGTGACGGAAGGAGAAATAAGAATTCCTGCTCTGAGACATAGTCTAGTAGGAAGGATAAATATCAAAACAACTAATTACATGGCAATGCAAAGAGAATGCAGTCGGCCCTCCTTATCTGCAGATTAACGCAAAAAAAGCCCAATAATAAAAAGTAACAATATAATACAAATTTAAAAATGCAGATATTTACATAGCATTTACATTGTATTATAAGTAAACTAGAGATGATTTACAATATATGCGCACAGGTTATATGCAAATACTATGCCATTTTATACAAGGGACTTGAGCATTCTTGGATTTTGGTATCTGCAGGGGTCCCTGCAGATACCGAGAGGAGGGACAACTGTATAAATTCCTGGTCAAGGCATCAGTTGAGGGGAGCCAAAACTTAAAAGGTTTATTTCTTAGATGGTTCATAGTTGAAAACAATCTCATTAAAGTACAACCCACTTTTCTTCTGCATTCAAACCAATAAATATTGAGTATCCAATATTCTTGGCCCTGGGAACACAATACTCAAGATACACTTGGCTACCTTCATGGAGCTTCCTGTCTGGCATGGAAGGTCTTGAAAGACAGGAGTCTTTAGGTATTAAAGGCTTTGGGAAACTGAAAGAAATCTAGCCCTGTGAACAAGAGCAATAAACTTGATCTGCATTTTCATGCTGTCTGCTTTTAACACCACCTTTCTAGCTATAATTCATGCTTCTAGGGAACAGACAAAATTTTAGAACTAGAAGGAACCACAGAACTTATTCGATTCTATTAATAATGTTGCAACTTGGGAAACTGAGGCTCAGGGATACAAAAGGATTTCCCTAAGGTTACACAGCTAATTAGTCATTTCTACACAATACAGTGTGCAAATGAAATAAGTCTGTTTTGACCGCCAGTCATGATCACAACTTTTTACAGAGGCCCAAAGGACTAACAGCATTTTTTCTTCCAGTTCTGAAACAATTAAGTTCAAAGTAAAAGGATGTCTGATATTCTTCTAGCTCTGCCAGCAAACCCTCTCAGTCCTGACTCCCTATGCTAGGTTAGGTTTCATTGCTATGGGCTTCTGCAGTATCCCAAACATTCCTTCATAACACATGCCATGCTTCTAGTTCTTGATTAATAGCTGTGTCTGTAGCAAGATGAATTGAAGGCAGCATGGTGGGTGCAGGGAGACCAGATTAGTCCAGGTGTCAATGATGGAGATGGATAGAAGTAATGGATTATAGAGTTTTAATAAGTAGAATACATTAAGACTTAGCAATTGACTTATGAAATGGTAGAGGGTACAACCAGGTTTCTGGTTTGAGTACCTGGTAGATGGTGGTGTTTGAGATAGACAATGTTGATTTGGTGGGTTGAGGGAGTGTCATAGGAAGATGAAGGTCCATGACAATGATAAATTTGTTGGGCAACTGCTATTTGAACCAAAAGCTAAATTTCACTAGCTCCTATTCAGATATTACAAATGAATTTGTGCTGGGTTATCAGCTGATTGAGATCTCAAAGAATATCTACTTGATTAACCAAGTATAGTTTTGTTTATCATTTGCATATCTCTTCAGTTATAAGTTTCTCTTAACAAACGAATTAAAAGTGGGAAATATGCTGGAAATGGGGATAACTCTATAGTACTGAATGCTAGCTGTGTTTGATTTTATTACTTAAAATTGAA